ATTGTGTAAAACTCTTCATTGCATTTAATTTACTCTTCATTTCAATCAACGGTTCACTCATTTTTAAACAGATTTAACAATATTCTATTCAATATAAAATATAATTTTGTCAAAATTTTAGTTTCAAAACTTAAGGCATAATATCATTTCCACTTCAACCTATAAACTAAAACTGAAAACTAATTTTAAAACATTTTCTTTCAAATGCCGTTTTGGTTATAGAAATACTAGACATTTATTGCTTATAATAATAAAACAAAACTATTTTTCCCAACCCTTTGAACCAAACATTTTAATATTGTTTTCACAAACAATTTTACCATTACTTTAGCCCAAACATTAAAACAGTGATAAAGTTGTAAAATAATATCCTTTGAAACATATACATAAAATTGCATTTAGTTTTCTTCAACATTATATTCTACACAAATTATTTGCTAGGTCATTTCAACAATACTTGAACAGTACATGAATTGACTACAGAGAAAGTATTGTAATATAAGGTTTGTCGGTTAGCCCTAAGAATATATTAAATACCAATATATTCCGTTATATTCAACCTTGATGCTTCATTGGAATAATATTCTACTTTATATACTAAATCTGATGATTATTTGCACTGTTTTTGGCCTAAATGTCAATTCAAGGCAAAAACTAAACAACGATTAACTCGACATCAATTAATTCATTCATCAATAAAACCATTTAAATGTGATTTTAATATTTGTAATAAAAGTTTTAAAGAAAAATCAAAATTACTTCAACACAAAAATACTGTTCATATGAAAAGTGTAAAAGGAATGCATTGTTTTTGGCCTAAATGTCAATTCAAGACAAACAAACAAAGGTATTTGAAAACACATCTATTGATTCATTCAGAAAAACGATTTAACTGTGATTTTAATAATTGCCACAAAAGTTATAAACACAGATCAGAATTAAGTAAACATAAAAATATCGTTCATTTAAATCGTGGAAAAGAAATGCATTGTTTTTGGCCTAAATGTCAATATAAAACCCGTGAAAGCAAAAAATTCACTGCTCATCAATCAATGCATTTAAATGTGAAACAATTTAAATGTGATTTTAATAATTGTAATAAAAGTTTTACACAATTTTCAAATTTACAAACACATAAAAATCCCGTTCATTTAAATGTGAAATTTATTTGTGATTTCAATGAATGCCACAAAAGTTTTACATCAAAAAAAGGTTTATTTCTCCACAAAAGTTGTGTTCATTTGAATGAAAGGAAATTCAAATGCAATGAAGAAAATTGTGGCAAAAAATTTACATCCACTCAGAGCTTAATTCAACACAAACGCATCCATTCGGGAGAAAAACCATTTGTTTGTGATTTTATTGGTTGTAACAAGAGTTTTAGAAAAAGAAGTAATTTAATGGATCACAAAATTATACATTCAAATGATGCGACAATTTATAGTTGTTTTTGGCCTAAATGTCAGTATAAGACTAAAAATAAGTGGAGTTTTAGAACACATGAATTAATACATTCAGAAGTAAAACAATTTAAATGTGATTTTAATAATTGTAATAAAAGTTATAAAATTAAATCTGATTTAACTAGACATAATAATAGCGTTCATTTAAATGTGAAATTAATTTGTGATTTCAATGAGTGTCACAAAAGTTTTACAACAAAACGAAGTTTATTTCGACACAAAAGTTGTGTTCATTTGAATGAAAAAAAATTTTAATGTAATGAAGAAAATTGTAACAAAACATTTTATTAAAAATCACGTTTCATTAAACACAAACGCATTCAGTCGATAGAAAAATAATTTGTTTGCCATTTCAATGATTGTAATCAAAATTTTCGCTCAAAAGCTAATCTTAACACATGAAAATCATCTGAATATAAAAAGCTATAAATGTATTCATAATAACTGTAATCAACGGTTTGTTACAAAATCAGAATTAAATAAACATGTCAATCGCAAACTAAACTCAAACTATTTTAATAAACATTAATTGACCATAATAATGACAGATTAAAACATTATTTCCCTCAGTTATAATTTAACTACAATCCAATGACAATTTAAAGTATGTAAGTACTCTCGTTTTGATTGTATTCATCATGATTAATTATATTTATTCATTATTTAAAATAAAACATTATAATATGATCTATGATTACAGGAAGCGTCGACCGGTTCCAGACTTACTATACTTGTCTCAAATACATGAGGCGATGGCTATTAGATCACAGGTAGAGCTCTACCGACGCAACCGTGAGGTCGACCCTCAGACAGGCTTTGATGGGACAATGGGTGCCCTGTATTGGCACAACTCAACCACATATGGCCGGCGTCCCACTTATTACAGCTTAATATATCAATTTTAATCTTAATAAAAATAATTTATTATAAATTTTATAATTTGCAAAAATAATAATGATTATAAATATTTTTAATTATAGCACAAATTTTAACAAGTTTTTATTAATCTTAAATTACATTGTATTTGATAAATAATTTTAATAAATGAATTATGTTGGTATGAATTTAAAACTTTATTAATACAACTCAAATAAAATAATTATATTTTAACTTAATGTTTATTATGCAAAGTAAACACAAACATTATTTTTATAAACAAATAAACTTTTAAATAAATAGTTAAATTAGTTTTTCACGCATCTATTGTGTTAAACATTATTTAAAATAAAAATTTAATCAAAATTTATAATTAATTTGTATTATAATTAATTAATATTATAAAAGCGTTTAAACCTATTTAATTTGATGTGTTTTAAAATGACTGGTCAGTTCACATTTTGAAGTATAATTTTTATTACAATTATTAAAAGTGCTTTTAAATGGTTTTTCTCCCGAATGAGTGAGTTTATGCCGATTGAGATTCCTTTTTGATTCGTAACTTTTGCCACAATTTTCTTCATTGCATTTGAATTTCCTTTCTTTCAAATGAACACAACTTTTGTGTCGAAATAAATGATGTTTTGATGTAAAACTTTTGTGGCATTTATTAAAATCACAAATAAATCTTACATTTAAATGAACACTATTTTTATGATATATTAATTGTGATCTTAGTTTAAAACTTTTATTACAATTTTTAAAATCACATTTAAACTGTTTTATTTCTGAATGAATTAATATGTGTTGATTTAGATCTTGTTTACTATTTGTCTTGTATTGACATTTAGGCCAAAAACAGCGATGAATTTTATTTAAATTGATGTGCTTACATTGTTTATGAAAATTTAAATGTGATTTGTGTGTAAATATTTTGCGGCATGTATTGAAATCACAAATAAATTTCACATTTAAATGAACGCGTTTTTTATGAATATTTAAATGTGCATATTGTTTATAACTTTTATTGCAATTACTAAAATCACATTTAAATTGTTTTATTTCTGAATGAATTAATTGATGTGAAGATAAATGATGTTTTGTTATTGTCTTGTATTGACATTTAGGCCAAAAACAGTGAAAATAATCTTCAGATTAATAATGATATGACAATTGTTTAGCATTTTATCACTGGTTTTACATGAATTGCAATCAATTGTTTG